AGCCTCCAACATCTCTCTAATCAGCATCTCAATCCTTCTGAGTCTGAGGGTAGCGGTACGGTCATACACTAATCGATGACACTCCCTCCTTTAAAAGAATTGCATGCTCCTGTTCTCTGAGTGGGGGTAACCCTTGAGGTGGCTGGACCACCTCACTGAACTGTTGTATGACTGGTTGCACTACAAGAGGAATGTCTCCCTCTTCCCCCACACTGATCCTCTCCAATCGTTGCAGTTCTACCAAATATCCACCTCCAACCTCCTGTATGGTTTTGATCATGGACTTGAGAGATACTCCCGCTCTAGACAGCCCAACATCTCCCTGTATCACCATTCTCCTTCCCCCCACCATCAGTTCCATATTCAGTGCTCCCCAATTTATCTTGGTCTCCCCCAATGTTTGCAGTCATTTCATCTCCAATATGACATCCGCACTCTCCAATTCCAAGGGAAGAAAATCCTCCCTCACCTGTATCCCCTAAATGGTCAACACCACTCCCCTACAAACTCATTTACCAATTTCTACCTTTTCGGTGCCCATCAGCACCCCGTACCCTCCTATATCCACTAGTTTCACCCCTAATAAATCAACAATTTGGGTGGAGATGAAATTTTGGGTTGCCCCACCATCTATCAACACTACTTCATCCCTATCAACTATCTCTCCCTTCACCTTCATAGTGTGATTCAGAGTGAATCCCACTATTGAGTTTAGGGAGACTTCTGCCACATCCAAATGCAACTTTGCCTCCTCTTCCGTCTCTAACTCTCTTCCACCTCCCTCTTCAACTTCCTCGTCATCATAGACGGTGAGAATCTGAAGAGTTCTATCCTTACACTTATGCATCGGCATGTACTTCTCATCACATCTAAAACACAACCCATTTGCTCTTTTTTCTTGTATTTCCTTCTCCTTCAACCTTTTAAAACTTCCCCCATTTCACCCTTCGGCAGTTCTCTCTCTTGGCACCTCCCTTAGACTCCCTGGTGTCGTCCCCTTGGGAGCCAAGACTATAGTTGTCATCCTGTACGACCCCCCCTAGTTGCTCCCCCTAGCTCCTCTCTCCTACTGCTTCTGATCCTCCACTAACTAGGCTAGCTCCATGGCCTCCCCCAGATCTCTTGGCCTCATCACTCTAATCGTTGCTCGGATCTCCTGTTTAAGTCCTTTCATAAAGTTCTCCAATCTACTGGCCAAGAACTCGAACCTGTCACGGTCCCCTCCTGGGTCAAGGCAAATAATTGCTCATAGAAGTCTCCTCCCCTATCGGTTCGAAAACGTTCCAGTAAGCACTCCTTGAACTCTATCCAGTTCCTGATGGGTTGTCTCATGTCCCGTCATTGGTACCAAGCCAATGCCTTTACCTCCAAGCATAGTCCTATCGCTGTCAGCTTCTCTTCCTCTGTCAGCCCGTCGACGGAAAAATACCGTTCCACCTTGTAGATCCAACCATGGCCATCTTCTCCCTCGAAGATGGACATTTTCAGCTTTCTCACCTTCGAGTCACCCCAATTGCCCTTGGATCCTCTATATCCTCCCATGCCACGAACGGGATGTGCTCCCCAGTTGTCACGATCTTCTCTCCGATGATCATTATCGTATTCATCATCAGCTTCCACTCTCCTTTTTTCGAATTCGGCACCTCAGTGGTGGAAATCCCCCCTTTTTACTACAAAGTCAGCACCCCTCTTTTCGTAGCCCATACTCATCTCCTCTCTAAAAAGTGGTTCTAAAGGTGGCATGCCATCCTTTCCCTCAAGGTTCTCCACTTCCGAATTTTTCCTCCCCCTAAACGGGTTCGGACTCCCTCCTATACCATGACCGCCGGTGGTCTTCCTTGCTTCCGATGTCGTCAGATTGGTCTTCACCTCTAGTAATTTCTTCAATTTCTCTTCCATCAAAGTGAACTTGCCTTCCAACCTTTCATTGTTGTAGGAGATTTGATTTTGAAAATCAAAGAATTTTCTCTCCGAATCGGATCTTAATTGCCTCAATTTCACCTTCCAGCACTTCGGCTTTCTTTCCGACCATCTTTCTTCCCAAGGATCTCAAGAGAGGTTCTTCCGGATGCGAAAAAACTGCTGAAATTTCAGAATTTCAGCCACCGATGGTCCCAAGATGATGCTCTAATACCAATTTGATAGGAATTACTTGAGTTAGCAAGTAACCCTAAGGGAAATTCTTAAGTTCGCAAGCAAACCTATCACTAATTGATGAAAACAACAAGAATAATGCGAAAAACTGGGCTAAATCAGCCCCAAAATTATGGATTGCAATAAGAGAATTAAAGCCAAACATATACGAAGCAAGATACAAGTGATCCTCAATTCGAGAGGAGGATCGTTCTCTCCCAAATCTCTAGATAAAGCAATCTAGAGCCAAAACACCCAAGAACTCCAAGAGAAATTCAAATCATGCATAACCTATCACTAATTGATGAAAACAACAAGAATAATGCAAACAACTGGGCGAAATCAGCCCCAAAACTATGGATTGCAATAAGAGAATCAAAGCCAAACAAATACGAAGCAAGATACAAGTGATCCTCAATTCGAGAGGAGGATCGTTCTCTCCCAAATCTCTAGACAAAGCAATCTAGAGCCAAAACACCCAAGAACTCCAAGAGAAAACTACTCCCCCCCCCCCCCAC